TATATATATTAATAGAGTAATTTTAAAATTTTTTAATGGATAACTTTTATTTATTAGAAAAACATAAAACATCGATATAATATTTAACATAATTTCTAAAAATTCAAAATTCAATATTACGATGTATACACATATACATACACTATAATTTTAATACAATAATATGGTAAGCAATCTTGCTAGAAAAAGCACGTACGGGTTGACCTCGTTCAAGGAGTGAGGGCTAGCCAAAGAAGGTAAGTCGGACTCGATTAGAATCCTTGATCCGGGTCGGCTAGGTTCTTCTATGCGAGCATGTATGCATATTGGTATCCTCTCCAAGACCGGTTGTTTCCTCCTTTTGTTTATATGTCACGAGAAGAGCATATTTCGGAGCCAAATTCAGGGCCAATCATGCAATTTCCGAAATATGAAGGACTAAAAAGAAACTAAATGGGAAACAATTGAAAATTGAAAATTTATTTTTTGGTCCCAAAATTGGATTCACACTTAAATGGGGGCAATAATTATTTGGAAAAAAAGAAGAATGTAGGTAATTTAGAAACAATGCATGGGCAAGAGGGAAATTAATTGAATGGGTGGCAGCTCAAAAGCCCCAATTCTTTGTTGTTGTGCTTTTAAAAGATTAGAAAATTAGGGTTTTTTTTCTTTTCTTTTTTATATTTTATTTTAAAATAAATAAATAAATAAATAGAGGAGAACAGCTAATGGTACATAACTACAAATATTCGTAATATTTATTTTTATTTAAGTCTTAATAATAATAATAAAATATATATCGGACTAAATTATTACAAATATTAATAAAAATTTTATGATAAGGTTGGTTTATGAGTTTTTTTTTATAAATATTTTTAAATTATTGTTTGGTAAAAAAAAAAAAAAAAAAAAAACCTACAAAATCCATCTTTTCATTTATGTAAAAGGGATGTAATTGAGTGGAAATAAAGCCTAAAAATGCAAACTTTTACCTATGCCCAAGATTACCAAATTTTAAGCCTTGATGGGCGTGTTGCAATTCAGCCCTTTTATTAAGAAAAAATTTGTTGTTAGCCCCTTTTAGTTACAAAATTTATTTCCTACCCCTTTTAATTAAAGAAATTTAGTTTTTACCCCTTTTTTTCGACTCTCTCTTCTCGGAATTGGTTAGATTGGATAATTACTTTAAATATATATATATATATATATGCGCGTGTGTGTTACATCAGTAACTAAAATCTCATAAAGTTAAAATATCAAACATTTATAAGTCACAACACATCACTACTATTGGTTATGAATGTTAAATATTCTTAATTTTTTTAAACTTAGGTACAGTTGGGTTGGATTGTATTCCCATTTTTGTGTTAAATGTCAACCAGTAAATCAAAACCAAATTTTTTATTTTTAAAAAAATTTAACACAACCCAAACAGAAAAAAAAAAAAAAAAAAAAAAAA